AAAGAGAGAGAAAAATATTTCTCTTAAACTCGTTAAAAGAATTTTAAATAATTTTATTCGTTTGATTTATTTTAGAATTATTGAAAATTGATTTAATAAAGAAAAATCGATAACATAACAGTCGATAATTATTGAAATAATTAATGATCGATAATCGTATTTACGGATAATTGAAAAACTCTACTAAATAGAGTGTAAATATATATACAGGTAAAGAAGAATATATTTCGTTATTTCAATTATAAAGTATCTCTATATAAATCTATCTAAAAAAAAATATTCACGATCTAAATGTTATATCTATTTTATCTCGTGCTCCCCTTCTCATTCGCTATCTTTGCGAAGAATTTAATTCGATTATACCGAAATGTTTTCCTTTAATTTATCCTTCATTAATTATCCCCCTTCGTATAATTTCAACTTTTAATATATTTCCTCGATTTCCCCCGCACATACTTTTCTTACTGTCGATCATAAAAAAGTATTTTTCTCCCCATTTTCTTATTTATGCACGAGTAGTGTTCCCTATTCAGACGAGCCTGTGTATTCCGTATTCATTACACCGATATGTGCCGCAAATAAACATCCAAGATTGTGCACGTTGCTCGAATATCAATGAACCGTATCGGCCTCTAATTGCGCATCTTTCACGAGTAGTGCGCTCTACACAGATAACTGCTAAACGAAACCTTACCTTGTTTCAAGAAACCTATTATATCGACGATACACAAAACACACACATATATATATATATATAAAAAAAACTAACGCGATATCAATCTCAAAACTATTAAAAAAACTAAATTTAAAAAGTCAAAAAGACATTGATTATAATTCACCGGGTATAAAATCATAAAACTTAAAACTTAAAACTTGCAGAGAGAGAGAGAGAGAGAGAGAAATTGTAACGATTCGAAAGAAATCTCGGAAGAAACTCGGCTCGAAATGAAAACTTGCCCCATATATATATATATACACACACTCTTATCGACAATTTCTTTCGAAACTTTTCTGTTCGACAAAAGGTTGGCGAACTCGGTGGAAAGAAAAGAGAAAGATAAAAGAAGCTGACCTCGCTGCGAGCCAGGCTGTAGATGGAGCTGGCGCTCTCGAAGGAGCTTCCCTCCGCGGCAGTGGCTGTGGCCGAGGCCGAGGCTGCTGCGCTCGAGGTGTGCGGGGGCCTCGACCAGGAGCTGGTCGTTGCGGAAGTGCCCGTAGTGGTCCCGGTCTCGGTCGAGGTGTTGGCAGTGACGTAGTCCTCGGTCGTCGAGGTTTCGGACAGATCCGTGTTGGTTCGACCGCCCGAGTCGGTCCGCGCCAGGCTCAGCCCGAACTCGCTCGAGGATTGCGACTGGGGCTGGGACAGGGGGGGCCCGGGGCTTGGACGACGGAATCCGCCTCTCGGCCTTCCGTTCATCGACGTGACGCACGATTCGACGCTGAGAAGTAATTGCCTTTAAAAATCGGATCGTACACGGGGTCGTCTCTAGCACGGGCCGACGTTAGATGGCGTTGATGTGAGCGGTGTGCGCGCATATGCGGTGTGTGTTGATAACCTCTCTGGCTAATCCTCCTACTTTGGAACTCCTTTTCTTTTTTTTTTTTTTGGTCGTGTAACTTTCGAGAGGTTAGGTTAACTACGTTGTGTGAAGTTGTTGTTGTTGTTGTTATTATTATTATTATTATTATTATTATTATTATTATTATTAATTGAATGAAAAGAAGCGCGTTTTTCTTTCTAGCTATTCGTATCGAGGGAGATCTGTAACATGGCAGAGGGCTAAACATCTTGAAGAATAGAATTCTTCTTTCAACGATCGAGGCCAAAACCTCCCTTGAGTGTGTTCGCGTGAAATTTAGGGGGATTTGCGTGGCCTCCAGGTAATATGGATGTGATGAGGTAAGGTCCAATGATACATTACCTTGGCGTTAACGGTTGAATAGGCGTGGCAGCCTCGAGGCGTATCCTTGGACTGGATGGGCGCGATTCCATCGTCTCCTCGATATCGAGCGCCTCGGTATCCATCGAGGAACGTTGCTGGTGCTGGAGGAGCAGTAGGTGCCTTCTCCTCGAGGACGGTGTCAAAAGGGCCAACGAGTCTGCCTGGAGCACGGTCGCCTGAGACTCGTTCCAAATTCCGTCGCTGTGGTCCCTCGTGACGTCGTTCGTTAACGAATCGCTCGATGCGAACGGAGATGTGATCATGCCGGATATCACGGTTCCAGGCCCGAAAAGTAACGGGCAAATTTGCCCGGTTTGCCGCAATGGCCGTGTCGGCGACTCGTAGTCCTTCGGGCTTTGTAAAATCCTTCGTGGCGCTGCAACAACGTCACCTTATTATTTAATCGAATTATATTTATTTTAGATTTGACAAGACAGATAAATGGATAATTCGAAGGATTAATATGGAGGAAAATTAAATTTGCTTGTTCCGTTTTCGAAAAATGTAGGATTGTTCGAGTATTCTGCGAATAGAATCTTTCTCTGTAAATAATGTGAGACGAATATGCGATAACATATTTGAAGCAAATATTTTAGGAAGGAATAAAGACGAGATAAAGGTGATACTACTCGGATCAAGTTCTGTATCCCTGCTCTTTATTTGCTGCACGATTTGTTCTCTTACCCAACTCGCTGACCCGTGCTTTCACCTTAAATCCGATATTTGGACTGGCTAGCTTTCGTACTAAATTGTTTGAAAAATTTGACGGCTTTCGAACGTGTATGAAAGTCAAAGTTTAAAATTGGCTATTGAAGGTAATGGAAATAATGTAGGAGGAGTAAAATTTTTTTTTTTTTTTTGGAAAATAAAATTGATGAGCGAGGAATAAACAAAAGAATAAACCGGACGCGGATATATATATTTTCACGGAAAAAGTTTTATAAAATTGTAATTTCGACGTGTAATTATTACTTTTCATAAAGCATATTTATATTTTCGCGTTACTTTATTAAATTTTGGAAAATAAGGAAAGGATAATTTTGCAAAATTTAAAATTTGCGAGTGAAAATATTGAAAATTAAAAATATTCGTTGGAAATTTTGTAATCAAATTCTTATAAATTTCTCGATCATATTTTTAATCGTGAAAATAGATGAGCTAGCAATTGAACTGAATGAAACTGAAGAGAGAATTTTTATCAATTCCATTGTCGTGACATCAATTCGTTTTACAAAATTAATTTTGATTTATTTTAATATTGCCGTAACAATAAGTCACGTTTATGAAACATTTTGTATCTGTCGTTTATGTAATGTAATTTTTTTAATTGCTTGCAAAAATTCCTATATTTCATACGAAATTATACATTTAGCAAAAATTAAAGTTAAAACTAAAAAATTTAATGACAATTTAATATATGACACGTTAAGCTGTAATTACGAAAAATATTTTTTTCCATTTTTTTATATTAATAACATTTGTGAATGTAAAGAATGTTTCAAAAAAGTTTTATAGAATAAAAAGTTATTAAAAATATATATATATATTATGAAATGTGAAATAATATCCCAATTATAAAATAATTTAACTTCGTTACAAACACTGTTATATGTTTAGAATGTTAATATATTGCATGAAACATTATTATTGGAAGATCGATTTTAGAAAGCAAACATAAACATTAGTATGCAAAAATGTTGATTGAAACTTATTTGCAACTTTATAAGAAATTGAAGTTTAACAAAGTTAGACGAGACGAGACGAAGATAGAGAGGGATAGCTGCTCTTTCGTTACACCAACGTGCCACAGCGTGGCGCGACATGTCGTTCTCTGTCTCGCTTCGATACAAATCTAAATTGTTTATAATTAACAAATGAACATCGAGCAACATTTTTCGTATTTATTTTGATTTTTAACTCTCCAATAATATATCACTCATGTATTCTGTAATTTATTATTATCATGAATTGTGTATTATTTGACATTGATATACGGTTAATAAATTGAAAGTTTAAAACATTTGCAGAAATGGCATAACAATGAAAAATAAATACTTATGTACGTAAAACGTAAAATTTTTACGTGATTTAAGTTAACTATCTTTTTCCCTTATTCAAAGCATCACCTACGAAACTGTTAAAAGCAAGAAAAAGAAAGAAAAAAAAACAATCCAATCTAACTGAGAAAAAGTCTTTCTTCGAGCATGATACAAGAATATAAATCGTCGAGAGGCGAGATAAAGAAGAGTAGAAACAGGGAAAAAAGCAGGATATGCACAATAGTAAGAAATAGAAGAAAATCTTGCCAAAAGACGAAATTTAGAAATTTCGTGAAAATATTTCAGAATCAGTAATATAATTTTCGATAAAATTAATTCGAGTAACCACAAATATATATATATATATATATATATAAATCTTATTCCATTCCTAAGAAATATATTCAAAACTGTAACTCGATCTTATTAATTATTTAATTATTGAACAAATGAATCACAGACAAGCAAATATGATACTTATTATTATATTTAGAAAAAGAAAAAAATGTAATTCTTCTAATTCGTCCTCTTTTCCTTTTATCAAAGCAAACAATCAGAAAATGAAGCAGCGTTACAACTCGAATCCTTTCGACTTTATTCCACCTTTATTATTGTAAAACTCTAAAAAAATATCCTACGATATTCCGCCACTCTGAAATATCCTTTGTTCAAGAAAAACATCGCCGTGCGAAACTTGTGCGAAATTCCACGATAAAATTCCGCTTATTGCATAAATAATAAAATGGATCATATTCCTCCTGTACCTGATACCGCTGTCGGCGATGTAGGGGACGTGGGGAGCGATCTGGGTAGCATAAAATCGTCGGATGCCAATCCTTGCACGCCATCTTCCAACGATACGCTCCTTTTGCGGAACAGTCCTCGCCTGATGAGATTCTCGTGAAACTCCTGCAACGTGTCGTACATGAATATCGACGAACATGGTGATGATACGCTTCCAACGAATAAATTCTCGATCGAAGGAAGAATTTTCTCTCTCTCTCTCTCTCTCTCTCT